AGCCCCCGGATGAGGAGGGCCGGCCGCCCGGGGCCCAGCGGAGGTACTCGGACCCCCCGACGTACTGCCTGCCCCCCACCCCGGGCCCGGCCAACGGCTGAGGGTCTCCAGCGGCCACGCCTGGTGTCAGGACGGCCTGCCTGAGTCGCGGAGCCTGCGCTGCTCCCTGGGAAGGATCCGGAACAAGAAACCCAGAGCCACACAGGGCACTGCCTCCGAGGGCAGAGTCGGGGCTGGGAGAGGCCTGGGTGGCACCCCTCACGCAAGGCCCTAGGCCACCATGCGCCCCAGAGCACCAAGTCTCAGCAGCCTGTGTCCCTGCTTTTGTACGTTTTTATGACGACTTTCTTTGTACCTGGTTTACATAACTTTAACAGCCTTAACAGAGCCTACACTTTTTATACGTCATGTACAGTTTCCTATTAACGCTGTGCGTCCCCCTGTCATTTGAATGCGAGTGGTCAGAGCAGAGGCCACTCTGCCACAGTGCCACTGAGGCTCAGACTCAGCTGGGGCGGCCAGCAGGCCGGGACCCTCCAAGAGGGTTTGGACACTTGGTGGCCCTGACCGCCCGGAGTCTGGCGCTGACGCCCCTCTCCGGACATTTGTGGGAGTGCTGGAACCTTCTGTGAAGCTCGGAGCTGGAGCTGGAGCCAGGACATGCGTCGGGGCAGCCTCCACCCGGGCAGCACGGGCCTCACATGCGGAGGCTTGGACACGGCTCCCTCCCGGACCCGGACCCGGGCTTTGGAGCAGCTGCCCTCCCGCTGCCCGCCCCGTGTGACAACAGAGGCCAGTGACTCCAGACTGCCAGGGCAGGAGGGCGAGGCCTGGTGCTGGACGTCGCCCCAGGTCGGCGGCGACAGCCTGGGACCTCCAGGGCAGGACCGCCTCTTGGGCTGGGACCGGAGCCCCGCACACGTGTGAAATAAACAAGTGCCTGAACCGCCACATCTGCACGGGGCCTGCTCAGCCGGCTGGGGGGCCAGGGTGGGGCGGGGGGTCGGCCGAGGGGGCGGGGTGGGGTTGCGCCCCGATGGGAGCGCTGCATTGGGTCCGCACACGAAGGGGCAGCCCTCGCCCCTTCCTGCTCCCGCTCCGGCCTC